ACGGTTCACGTTTTCTACATCCAGGATTTTGCTTTTTCCATCTCCTTTAATAAGCAGATATTTAGACCTGCAGCCTTGTTCAGGTCAGGTTCTATTTTTTGGCAAGCGAGCTTAATGGGGGATTACTGTGTTTTTCACATTGTATCACGCCAGGAGCTAGAGAGCATCTTGCCTCTTTGTGGACCTTTTAGCATCATAGGGTAACAGTTGACCAGGGAATGCCAGCAAATACATACAAAAGAAATGAGACACTATCACCTTTTGGCAACCTCTAATGAAATAATGGATTCTGGCAATGATCACTAGTGGCTGTTAACATCAGAAAGAGAGACAGCTAGACAATGCGTGCTGCCTAATGGGGTGCTTCCATCAGACAGCACACGTTTGTCTTATCAAGTATTCTTGGAGTAATGGGGTTGGTATGTATAGATGAAACATGATTGCCTATGAGTTAACAATTGTTGAAGTTCGATGATGGGTGTGTGGCATTGTATTATGCTAATTTCTACTTCTATATGTGTCTGAAGTTTTTCAGAATAAAACTTCTTTTAAAAAGATTGATTAGTTGGTGAGTTTAGATCGACCTGATCCATCCATTGCAGTTCTCTGTTAGCCTTTTCACTAAGTGGTTCTCAAATCTGACTCCATGTTAGGATCACAGGAGAAGGCTTTTTATTTATTTTATTTTTTATTTTTTAATGAACATGTCTCACTTGCAGAATTTCCTATCTAAATGTTCTGGGATGAAGCCCAATTATTGATGTAGTTTTTTGTTTTGTTTGGGACTACAGGTGTATGCCACCATGCCCGGCTAATTTTTTATAGACAGAGTCTTGCTGTGTTTCCCAGGCTGGTCTTGAACTCCTGGCCTCAAGCTACCCTGCCAAAATGCTGAGTTTACAAGCATGAGCCACCATACCTTCACTGATATGTTTTAAAAGCTCTCCAGGTGATTCTATTATGCCCCCGGGGTTATGTACTACTGATCTAAATCCATTATTTGTTAGGGATGACAAAGTGATTATATTCTATTATTCCTTCTGCAGTTCATTTGCCTTTACAAATGTTAACTTTCTGCATTCTATTTATTCTTACCTATCTTGCAAATCAATAAAGAAGCCTCTGCAAATAAAGCTCCTTTATTATCAGAGGAAGACTTGATCTTGGAGGTGAAAATGTAGAGTAACACATGGAAGGGATGTTAGCAATAACCTCAAGGCTATGCTTAAGGTAGAGATGCACCACCTTATGTATGACGGTTGGGGGCAGGAAATATGGGGAGGAGCTGTTTCCCAAAATGGAAAGGAAGACTAGATGGGGTGTAGTTAGAGAAGCATGTTTGGGCATATGACACATTTCCAAAAAAAAAAAAAAAAAAGCGTTAAGTAAATATAAATTTTTAAAAAATTAAATAAAATGCCACTTATTAAAACATAATCCAAAGATTTAAAAGAAAAGTTAATCCCCCATGCAGCCCCCACCCCATCACTTTAATCACCCCTGAAATAACCCATATTAACAGGATGGTGTGTATCCTCTCCCACATCAGACTTCCTCTGTCTTACATAAATGTAGGGGTTTGGGGTATTGTTATAAAAATGATATCATGCCATAGCCGTCTGTAACTTTTCTCTGTCATCCCTCCATGACAGTAGTTACAGAAGACTTTATTAGCTGCAGAATAAATAGTTGATAGAATAAACAATAGTACAAATGTACAATAAAATATTCAGCCATTTTCCTATTGACATATTTAGATTGCTTCCATATTTTAGCCAACTTGAGACCACCACAATATGCGTCATTGTACATAGATCTTTATTATTTGGGTAGATTCTGAAAAATGGGAATTGCTGGGTGAAAGCATATAATTATCAACAGCATCATTATTACTGGTAATATATATTGCCAAATTATTCTCCCAAAGCATAATCGCAATTCATAACTTTGTCACCATTAGTTTGTGACAGTACCCATTTACCCTCATCCTGGTTAGCACTGGCTAGCATTGCTCCATTGATACTTGCCTGCCAACTGATGTGTGGTAAATGGTCGCTTTTTTTGTTTGTTTGTTGTGAGAGTGTTCTTGTTCTGTCTTGTTCTGTCACCCAGGCTTGAGTGCAGCAGTGAGATCACAGCTCACTGCAGCCTTAACCTTCCAGGTTCCAATGATCCTCCTGCCTCGGCCTCCTGACAAGCTGGGACTACAAGCACATGCCTCCATGTCCAGCTGATACTTGTTTTTAATTTTTTTGTAGAGACAAGGTCTCACTATGTTGCCTAGGCTGGTCTCAAACTCCTGGGCTCAAGCGATCCACCCACCGCTGCCTCCCAAAATGCTGGGATTATAGGCATGAGCTACTGCACCCAGACACTTTTTTCTTTATTTTGCATTCCACTAACTAACTGAAGACTGAACCCTTATCTTTTATTTATTACTGTTAATTTTTTAAATTGATACATGATAGTTGTTTGAACCTTTTTCATGCTTATAGGCCATTTGGATTTCTTCTGTGATTCATATATATGTGTGTGTGTGTGTGCGCACGCATGTGTATGTGTATATATATCCTTTGCCTGGTTTTCTGTTGCACCAGTATTTTTGTATTTTGAATGCATTTGCATAAACTTTTTTTTAGGAGCATTAACCCCCTCTCATAAGGGGGTCCAAACTATTTTTTTCAGGTTTTTTTTCCTTGTCCTTTGACTTTATGAGTCTTGATATGTATAAAAGATTTTATTTAGTTAAAATGTCTGTTTTTAAAATTTCTGGATTTTATGTCTTGCCAATAAGGGCTTCCCATCTCCACAGTTAAAGGTGTAAACATTCTCCTAATTCTTTTGAACATGTTATTGGATTTTTTACATTGAAATTTCTTAACTATTTGAAATGTGTTTTTATATACAATGCAAAGTGAGCATCTTGCTTTGCTTTTTTCTGCTAGTAACAGCCAATTATGTCAGTCCCATTCATTAAAGAAACCACACTTTTTACACCTTCGTTGTATACTGTATTGATTCCAGTAGGTAGTTGGTTTATTTCTGAACTTTCCCTTCCCTTTTATCTCTATTTTTGTGCCAATATTATTCTGTTTTATTTATTTATTTATTTATTGAGACAGAGTCTCACTCTGTCACCCAGGCTAGAGTGCAATTGCACAATCTTGACTCTCTACAACTGCTGCCTCCCAGATTCAAGCGATTCTCCTGCCTCAGCCTCCTGAGTATATGGGATTACAGGTGTGTGCCAGCATGCCCGACTAATTTTTGTATTTTTAGTAGAGACAGGGTTTCACCATCTTGGCCAGGCTGGTCTCAAACTCCTGACCTCAGGTGATCCACCCACCTCAGCCTCCCAAAGTGCTGGGATTACAGGCATGAGCCTCCGTGCCCGGCCTATTCTGTTTTAATTATGTCAGATTGCTGTAGTAAATGTTAATACCTAGAAAGGCAGGTCACTACTCACTGCGTTTTGGAATTTTCTTGCCCTTTCTCAGACATTTATTTTTTCTTCTGTATGATTTTTGGATTGTTTCTGTTCCAAAATAAATCCCACTGGAAATCTGATAGAATTTGCACCAAATATATCTACATTAGCTTAGGAAAGATGAACATCTCTGTGATTTCAAGTCATCCTATCAAGGACGTAATGTGTATCTCTTATTTGTATGAATCTTTTGGGTGCTGTTCCTTTTCTGCTAACTTTATTTCTGGTAATTTTGTTTTTGCTCTTGGAATGAGTTTCCCCCCCCCATTTCTGTTTTTATCTTGTTATTGCTAAGACTGAGAAGAGTTATTGAAGTTTTTGTATCTTATATATCCAGCTGTTGGTCAAATTATCTTTTAGTAGTTTTTCTTAAGCTTGTTTTCTTCCCTGACGTCAATGTGGATAATCTATAATTGGTTATGTATAAATTTCAGTTCATTCTAATTTATTCTGTTTGATATACATCTTCCATCTCATAAGTATATCAGCGATGTCAGATGCACCTGGAAATAGTGAAAGGAATAGTGCTAGGAGTTGGAATAAACCTGCACATTCAACAGGTTATTGCTGATCACTTAAAATAGCAGAGTCCCAAGTCCTCGTGAGTCATGGACCATGTCACGTAGGAAGTGAGACATTTGTTCAGCATTATTGTAAAGTATCAGCATGACTGGAGAGCATCATAGAGCATTACTGTTATGATTGTTTAGAGAAAGGGCTGATCATTATGGGCATCAGAGACACCATTTGGTAGGCATCATTAAATACCATCTCTTGCCCAGTATCTCAGCTAGAGTTGTTGTTGTTTAGTGTTTATTAGAAGGAATTTTATTTTATAGTTAATAAGTAGAGAGTACAGAGAGTTCCCATATATTCTCTTATCTCTCACCCCTCAGTTTCCCTTGTATTAACATCTTAAATTAATGTGGTACATGTTCAGAAGCTTAAGGGCTCATGAAAAAAAAAAGAAAAATGTGCTACATGTTACAGTTGATGAGCCAATATTGATACACTGTCAACTAAAGTTTACATTGAACCCATTCACTCTAGTGTTGTTCATTCTGTATACAATTGACCAATGTATAATGATGTATGTCTGTCTTACTATATCATACAGAATCGTTTCACTGCCCTAAACATCCCCTGTGCTCCACTTGTTCATTCTTCCTTCCCTCCCCCTGTATCACTAGCAAGGGCTATTCTTTTTACTGTCTCCATAGTTTTGCCTTTTTGAGAACATCACATAGTTAAAATTCAACTATAGTTTTTAATTGCCTGGGTTTGGTTATTTTTGTTTGTTTGGGTGTGTGAACAATTATACAAGATTTGTTAACTTGTAGTTTTGCCAAGTTATTTAAAATCTTACTGTGGATATGTGTGGAATACTATGAGAGAACAAGAATCCAGACTTCTAAATAACCAAAAAGTAATAATAGTGATAAATATTACAGGAATGTGTTTTTGATGCAGTGATATGAAATAATCCGCAGATGATCTTTCTGTTGCAGGGTGGAAGATGTCTATGGATGTGACATTTCTGGGGACTGGTGCAGCATATCCATCTCCAACCCGGGGTGCCTCTGCTGTGGTCCTTCGGTGTGAAGGCGAGTGCTGGCTCTTTGACTGTGGGGAGGGAACACAGACACAGCTTATGAAAAGCCAACTTAAAGCAGGTTAGTGTGCCTTCAGCTATCTCATTAAGATTTTTTTGTTGTCCTGCTTCATTTTCTTGGCTCTCCTTGGACATTTTGTTCGGAAACAGCCCTGATGGTTGCATCCCACTTCAATGCTAGATCCTGGTGAGACTTGGAAGGCCAAGTCCACTGGACTTCATTTACTTATTTACTTGCTTTTCCTTTATCCTGTGGATGTTGAGAGCAAGGGTTCATGTAGGCTCGGGGTTTGGGAAATGTCATGGGATATACCAGGCATATTAGATGGACGCTACTTTAGCAAGGAAGCAGTGTACATACTTACTTCCACCAGGAGATAGTTTTCCTGAGAGGATGCAAAGGGTAGGAAATGTTTGGAGGAGGGAGATGCTCTTTTCCTCTTGACGTTATCAGGGCCAACTTCTCAGAGAAGTTGACTTGTCGGTTGTCAGAGGAGGAGGAGGAATTTCAGGGCTGAGGAGAAGAGGGGCATTTCAGCCAGAGGGAATGGAGTGAGCAGAGGCCAGCACCCGGGAGACAGAGCAGTCCAATGGTGAAAAGCTTCAGCTCAGAGTCAGGCAGACCTGGGTTCTAGTCCTGGCTGTGTGTTGGGCTTGTGACCTTAGCAGATCAGCAAACTTCGACTTTACTTTCCCCATCTTGCAAATGGGGATAAAAAGTCTACTTAGAAAGGGTGTTATGAGAATTACATGTAATCACTTATTCTCTGTGTGGGTGCCTCTTTGTCAGTTAAATCTTAGCTCAAATGCCATCTTCTCAGAGGCTTTACCAGATCCTCCTGTATTAAATAGTTCCTCTCTCACCCCAGTCATTCCTTTACTTTGTCCTATTTTTATTGACTTCTTTGCATTATCAGTATCTGAAATTATGTTATTTAGTTTGTTTCTGTGTTCTTTATCTCCCTATACTGTAAAGTAGGTTCCATGATCATTTATATACCTAGTAGGTGCCTAGCTATATCTCTTCAGCTAGGCATCTTACTAAGTATGTAAATGATTATGGAACTTACTTTACTTTAGTGAATGGATAAGACATTTAGCAACTTGGCATAGTGCCTCTCACTTATTAGGTCTTGATAAATAGTATTGAAATCATTATTCCTACAACTCATCACAGTACCTGGCACTTGGTGACTAAAGATACTTCTAGTGTTCAAGGATCTCTTGGTCTAGTGATGGAAACTGACATGCAAATGGACAGTAATCAATCATGTAATCTGATAAGTAGAATAATGGAGGTATTTTCTAAGTACTTTGGAACACAAAGGAGGGGGAAGTAACTGACCATTCATTAAGAGAAGGCATCCCAGAGATTGTTAACAGTTGAGCTGGGATCCAAGAGATAAATAGAAGTTTTTCTGAGAGAGAAGTAGAGATGGACGTTGAGGGAAGAGACAACAAAGTGAGCAACAAGTAAGGAAGTTTCCAGGAAACTGGAAACTTGGGGAGCATTGAGTAGTTGGCTAGGCTAGATGGAACTAAGAATGCTGAAAAGGTGAGGGCTGACTGTGAAGTCCTCTGTAGCAGAGTAAGATATTTAGACTTTATTATTTTACTGGGAAAAAGGAACCATTCGTGTTTTTAAGGGGGGAATAATGCGATCTTGTTTGTGTTTTAGGACAGAATTTTCTGATGGCACATGTATTGAGAGAGAGAGAATAGCGTCAGGGAGACCAGTTCCAAGGCAGTTGCAATTCACTTGTATTAATTTATTTTCATACTGCTATGAAGAAATACCAAAGACTGGGTAATTTATTAAAACAACAAAAAAAGAGGTTTAATGGACTCACAATTCCACATGACTGGGGAGGCCTCACGATCATGGTGGAAGGCGAAGGCAGAGCAAAGCCATGTCTTACATGGTGGAAGGCAAGAGAGCATGTGCAGGGGAACCACCTTTTATCAACTCATCAGATCTCATGAGACTTTATTCACTATCATGAGAACAGCATGAGAGAACCTGCCCGCCATGATTCAATTACTTCCCACCAGGTCCCTCCCATGACATGTGAGGATTATGGGAGCTACAATTCAAGGTGAGATTTGGGTGGGACATAGGTAAACCATATCATTCCACCCCTGACCCCTCTAAAACCTTATGTCCTCACATTTCAAAACCAATCATGCCTTCCCAATAGTCCCCCAAAGTCTTAACTCATTTCAGCATTACTTCAAAAGTCCACAGTCCAAAGTCTCATCTAAAACAAGGCAAATCCCTTCTACTTGTGAACCCGTAAAATCAAAAGAAAGTTAGTTACTTCTTAGATACAGTGGGGGTACAGGCATTGGGTAAATATACCCATTCAAAATGGGAGAAATTGGCCAAAACAAAGGGGCTACAGGCCCCATGCAAGTCCAAAATCCAATAGGACAGTCAAATCTTAAAGCTCTGAAATGATCTCCTTTGACTCCATGTCTCACATCCAGGGCATGCTGATGCAAGGGGTAGATTTCCATTATATTGGGCAGTTCCACTCCTGTGGCTTTACAGGGTGCAGTCCACTTCCTGGCTGTTTTCATGGGTTGGTGTTGAGTGTCTACAGCTTTTCCATGCACACAGTGCAAGCTGTCAATATATCTGCTATTCTGGGTTCTGAAGGATGGTAGCCCTCTTCTCACAGCTCTACTAAGCAGTGTCCCAGTGGCTATGTGTGGGGTCTCACACCCCATATTTCCTTTCCACACTGCCCTAGTAGAGGTTCTTCATGAGGGCTCCACCCCTGCAGAAGACTTCTGCCTGGACATCCAGGTTTTTCCATACATCCTCTGAAATCTAGAAGGAGGTTCCCAAACCTCAATTTTTGACATCTGTGCTTCCACTGGCCCAACACCACATCTAAGCTGCCAAGGCTTGGGGTTTGCACTTTCTGAAGCAACAGCCTGAGCTATACCTTGGCCCCTTTAAGCCACACTGGTACGCAGAGCACCAAGTCCTGAGACTGCACAAAGCAGCAAGGCCCTGGGCCCAGGCCAGGAAACCATTTTTCCTTCTAGGCATCTGGGCATGTGATGGGAGGGGCTGCTGGGAAGACCTCTGACATGCCCTGGCAACATTTTCCCCATTGTCTTGGTGATTAACATTTGGCTCCTCATTACTTACACAAATTTCTGCAGCCAGCTTGATTTTCTCTTCAGAAAATGGGATTTTCTTTTCTATCACATCGTCAGGATGCAAATTCTCTGAACTTTTATGCTCTGCTTCCCTTTAAACATAAGTTCCAATTCATATCTTTGTGAATACATAAAAGTGAATGCTTTTAAGAGCACCCAAGTCACTTCTTGAATGCTTTGCTGCTTAGAAATTTCTTCTGCCAGATACCCTAAATCATCTCTCTCAAGTTCAAAGTTCCACAGATCTCTAGGGCAGTGGCACAATGCTGCCCTCTTTGCTAAAGCATAGCAAGAATCATCTTTGCTTCAGTTCCCAATGAGTTCCTCATCTCCATCTGAGACCACCTCAGTCTGGGCTTTTTGGTCAAAACCATTCAACAGGAAATTCCAAACTTCCACGTCTTCCTGTCTTCTAAGCCCTCCCAAGTCTCTAGGAAGTTCTAAACCTTCCCACATTTTCCTGTCTCCTTCTGAGCACTCCAAACTGTTCCAACCTCTGCCTGCTACCCAGTTCCAAAGTCATTTCCACATTTCCAGGTATCCTTATAGGATTATCCCACTCTACCAATACCAATTTACTGTATCAGGCCATTTTCATACTGCTATGAAGAAATACCCAAGACTAATTTATTAATTAAAAAAAAGAGGTTTAATGGACTCACAATTCCACATAGCTGGGGAGGCCTCACAATCATGGTGGAAGGCAAAGGCAGAGCAAAGGTATGTCTTACATGGTGGCAGGCAAGCGAGCATGTGTAGGGGAACTGCGCTTTATCAAACCATCAGACCTCATGAGACTGATTCACTGTTATGAGAACAGCATGAGAAAACCTGCCCCCATGATTCATTTGCTTCCCACCAGGTCCCTCCCATGATGTGGGGGACTATGGGAGCTACAATTCAAGATGAGATTTGGGTGGGGACACAGCCAAACCATATCATCACTGTGTGTGTGTGTGTGTGCGTGTGTGTGTGTGTGTTTGTGAGAGAGAGAGAAGGAGGATGTTGAAGTATAGAGATGGAGATGAGAGATTCAATTTAAGAGATATTTGTAGAGCCAAGAGGAGGTGGTCACTGAATGTCTAGTGTGTGAGGAAGTGAAGAATTAATACAAGTTACTGATGGTGATGTCCTGGACTTAGAGAAGAAGTCAGGAAAAGAGTTGTAAGAGGAAGGAGCTAATGCATATTGTTTGGGACATGTGGCCTTCAGGTATGTACAGTTGAACCCTAATTATATACTGTCTTGTGTTGAAACTTTGAGATAAGTCAGGTGCTATTCTTTGCTTTACTTGGATTGTACAGAGATTCCTTTCATGAGAACCTTCATGAGAGCCCTCCGGGCAGGCACAGGTCAGAGTAGAGACTTGATAACATTTCAGACAGTAGGAGTTGAGGTGGCAAGGTGTACTAAAATAGAAACAAGAAATTGTTAAGAGTGAGTACCAGAGGTTTGGCTGTGGGAATACATCTTTTTATTTAATACGTGTGTTAGTTATCTGATATTATCTAATAATGCATAACATTATAAATTTAATGGCTTTTTTGCATTTATTATCTCCTAGTTACTGTGGGTTAGGGAGTTCGGGCCTGGCTTAGCTAGGTTTTCTGCCTCAGGGTCTCAGTAGACTGCAGTCTAGGTGTTGGCTGGGGTTACAATTTCATCAGAGGCCCAGCTGGGGAAGATTTCTCAGCTCTTTCAGGTTGTTGGCAGAACCCATACAGTGGTAGGACAGTCTGCCCTGAGCTCTTTGAGTTCTCTGCATTGTGGGTTTCTGCTTCATGGTAGCTTACTTCTTCATAGCCAGCATGGGAGAAGGAGACTCTAGAGTAAGTCTGCTAGCAAGATGGAGTCTTATGTCCCATAATGTAATCACGTTGCATTCTTGTGCCATATTCTACTGCTTAGAAGCAAGTCACAAGTCCTGGCCACACTGAAGGAGAGGGGATTATAGGATGTGAACACCAAGGGGTAGGGGCCACAGGGACCACCTAAAATATCCACCAAAATTTTACAGTTCCTTTATATATGATTTTTTTTTTTTGAGACAGAGTCTTGCTCTGTCACCCAGGCTGGAGTGTAGTGGTGCGATCTTGGCTCACTACAACCTCTGCCTCCTGGGTTCAAGTGATTCTTATGCCTCAGCCTCCTGAGTAGCTGAGATTATAGGCACACACCACCACACCTGGCTTTTTTTTTTTTTTGTATTTTTAGTAGAGATGGGGTTTTGCCATGTTGCCCAGGCTGATGTCAAACTCCTGAGCTCAGGCCATCCGCCCACCTTGTCCTCCCAAAGTGCTAGGATTCAGGTGTGAGCCACTGCGCCCAGTCTATATAGGATTTAAATAAACAGTTGGAGTTGGGCACAGTGGCTCATGCCTGTAATCTCAGCACTTCGGGAGGCCAAGGCAGGAAGATCACTTGAGGCCAGGAGTTTGAGAACAACCTGGGCAACATAAAGAGACTCTGTCTCTACAAGAAATTAAAAAGCCGGGTGTGGTGGTTTGCACCTGTGGTCCTAGCAGGAGGCTGAGGCGGGAGGATCCTTTGAGCCCAGAAGGTCAAAGCTGCAGTGAGCCATGATTGAGCCACTGCACTCCAGCCTGGTGACAGAGCAAGATCCTGTCTCAACAAATAAGTAAATAAGCATGAATGCATGCATTCATACATATAGTTGGTAAATCTAATCCTGGCCACAAAAACCCAAACAAACAAACAAACAAAAAACCCCAAAAGCCCAAAGGAACCTTTAGTTTACTACATTTCTATAGGCTTAGAAAAAAAAATTTCTGAGGCCAGGAGTGGTGGCCCACATCTGTAATCCCAGCACTTTGGGAGGCCAAAGCAGGTGGATCACGAGCGAGGTCAGGAGTTTGAGACCAGCCTGGCCAACAAGGTGAAACCCCATCTCTACTGAAAATATAAAAATTGGCAGGGTGTGGTGGCAGGTGCCTGTAATCCCAGCTACTTGGGAGGCTGAGGCAGGAGAATTGCTTGAACCTGGGAGGCGGAAGTTGTGGTGAGCTGAGATCACGCCACTGCACTCCAGCCTGGGCAACAGAGCGAGACTCCATCTCAAAAGAAAAAAAAAGAAAAATTTCTGACCTTAGAGAGGAAGGTGAGATAGTAATCCCAGAGCATTAACTGTGACTCTCTAGTACTTCATTCAGATACCCCCAGTCTCAAACTGGAATGAAGCACCCTCAGTACATACTAATTTCTCTCCATAACCTATTATGGACCTATCATTAGGTCCATAATAGGTTGAAACCCTTTCAGCTTGTACTACCTCCAGGGATAATAAGTTTTGAATACAATTGCAGTTTTGTTACATGGATATATTACATAGTGGTGAAGTCTGGGATTTAGTGTACCCATCACCAAATAATGTACATTGCACCCATCAGGTAACTAATCATCCCTCATCCTCCAGCCACCCTTCCACTCCTCCAAGTCTTCCATGTATATTATTCTATACCCTATACTCATGTGTACATATGAAATGATTATTAAAAGTATTATAGGCCAGGCGCGGTGGCTCACGCCTGTAATCCTAGCACTTTGGGAGGCCAAGGTAAGCGTATCACCTGAGGTCAGGAGTTTGAGGTGACCTCCTCGAACATGGTGAAACACCGTCTCTACTAAAAATACAAAAATTAGCCGGGCATGGTGGCGGACGCCTGTAATCCCAGCTACTCAGGAGGCTGAGGCAGGAGAATCACCAGAGCCTGGGAGTTGGAGGTTGCAGTGAGTAGAGATCGAGCCACTGCACT